AGATGAGGGGAAGAGACATGTTTCTTAAACAGCCATTTTGATAAAAATAACAAGTTTCTCCTCTCTGTCTATTTTACAACAGCTTTAAAGTCAGATCGAGTTTGAAGTCTTACCGGCGGCTATTTCCAGCTTTACTGGGACTGACAGTGAACATTGCATTTAGCTTTGTGTGACTAAAAGAGAAAAATATTCCAAATGCAGCATCTGAAACATCATCTGGGGTTCAAACTAATGTGCTCATAGCAACATTTGTGAAATACGTTAAAACTAAGTTATGCACTAATATAAGTTCCTCTTGCTCATGAAAACGTGTGACAAGTTCACTTCAGCTTAACTAATTCGATTTCGTTCAGCTTCTTTCTGCTTTGAGAAGACTTTTCTGAATTGTACACGCTAAATTTCAAAAGTTTTGTCACAGAAAGCTTTCAGTGATACATCTGAAGAATGCTTTGGACCATTGGGAGCTGCCAGTATTTAGTGATGGGTTTGGACTACGCAAAAAAAAACAAATTATACGCTTTCCTCCGTCAGTTTGAACCTCATTTTCAGACACATTGGGAAACATGAAAAGAAATAAGGGATTTGGGGAAATAGGCCACAGCAGAGACTTCAATGAACACGAACCAAATGACGCCAATATAGCAGCTTGAGCATAATTAAACTTCGCAGGGCAATGATGATCTGCAAAAAGCCAGTTTCACATTGAGTAGTGGCCCCAAAGCTCACACTGCTCACTTTAGTATCTTTTTCATCTGTAGGAAATCTCAACGATATATCCCGCAGCTGTAGCATTGGGTCATGAAATACTTTGCACAGTGCAGTGTGCCATTAGGTTTGTCTCACTCATGGTCATCCTGGCCATCTTTTTCTGTTACCATGACAACAATTCTCAGCACTCCTCAGCCTCTTGATAGTGTGGAAAATGAACAAAAAGACAAAGGGAAACATGTCAGATGCTGGGAAGCAGCGATGAAAACGGACCAACAGCCACCACTGGCTGGCCCACTTTGACTAAAAATGACTTAAAGGCTCAGCTTGATGTGTTTCAGATGTTACATATCTCACCAATTTTAGTCTCCGCTATCTTTAGTCAGGGAAAAGTGTGTCGCTCCATCTTACAGGCCATCCTTCACTGTCAGCCCACATTAAGAAAAGCAGTCACATAGAGTGATACTCTGGTCTAGTTACTGAGGTACCACGACCCCTGATATCTCACACAGCAGCGTACCGTCTGCTGCATTCATGCACTATAGATTTAGGGTCATTTATCCACCGCCCCTAGTTTCTGCTGTAAGTAGGAAAAAATGAAATGAATACAAGCACAGTGGCCATTCAACCATGCTCATTCTGAGACCAAAACCCCAAAGAGAAATAAGAGTTTATACCTAGTAAGATCCAGTTTGACTTGATAAACAGAGCCAGGGTTCCCACAGCTCAAATCCAGTGAAATGGCACAAAGTGAAATGGTATGACCAACTTTAGAATAACAAATATGTAAGGAAAAATATTATAAGATAAGCTGATGTCACAGTATCCATACAGGCGGTTTTTGGGTTTCTTACAGACTAACCAGACCCCCTCCAACACACTAAAACAGTCTCAGGCCTGAGCCTATACATTTGACTGTTGCTCAAATGTAACAGAGAGCGATTACATTCAAATTCCCCGCTGTGTGAGCTTTTAATCAGGCTCTTCGTGTCTGATCAGAATTACAACATTTGTCTGCTCACCTGCTCCCACCCATAGCTTGGAATAAATTGTGTCACTACATTTCTTGAAAAGACGCAGGTAAAAGACTCATGCAGTTTCTTTGCGTCAGCCCTGTAGCACATACTGTTGAATTGTTTGCTTATATTTCTCTCAAAGTAGTTCTGCAGAAAAGATGAAGCCCACAAATACAGCTCTTTGGTTAGAGTGCTGGTAATTTGCTTGCCAGTGCACCATGTCATTTTGTATTCACTGATTTGACTGAAATCTGAAATGTCAAACTTAGTGGCTTGTGCACCAAAAATAACTGTAATAACATAAATGGTAGAAAATAATACTTTTATACTCTCAAAAGCTACTAGCTATAACATCCTGAAAGACTTTATCAGGACATAATGAATACCAACAACGACTAAAGCATTTTTCATATTATATTTATTAATAAAGTAAATATTTGTATTTATTGGCAAAGAAAATAAGATAATCGGGACTACTTTTCAGCTATTTTGTGCAAGATGGATAATATATATACATTTCACATGATGAAGTTCATTATATAACAACAACAACGTAGGGTTAACTATGTTTTTGTTTCACTTGGCAGTCCTTTCCAATTATTATAATTCAACATTTCAAGAAATGTCATCGTGTGGTCCTAATAAAGCCGTTTCTACTTTAAAGAAACTCTGAAGTTTCATTTCAGGGGGTGCTGTGCAAACTATAAATATATTTAATTATATAATTATAGTGAACTTTTAGGAAGTACAGAGACTAGACAAGCTAAAACTCCCCAGACGATTGTAAATAAAAGTAGCCTCCAATGGCTAAGACGATTCAACATCAAACGGAAAAAAAGAGTGTGATTTCTCAAGTGGCAGATGGTGTGCCTACTTTCTCTAATAATAATTTTAGATAAAAAGGTTTCTCTAAAAATAAATAGGCTTTTTTTTGTAGATCCGTGCTTGTCAGGCCCCTTCATCATCTGTTACTGTTTGTAAACGATCAGTAATTAATAGCCGAGGGTGCATGGCTGACACGTTGCATGAAATGAACGTTGGCATGAAGTGCTCTGCATTTGATCACAGTACATTCCAGAACACAATTGTAAGGTTAATCACACTGTAATCCAGATCATAATGATTACACACAAAAATATTACAAGCAGTAATTGTATCCAGGCTGTATTTTTTTTTTTACACCGACCTGATTCAAAGCATGTGAGTCTTACACCACTGGTGTAGTATGTGTTTGTGTATTTATACTAACCAGGATGAGAGCATATTTAAATCAAATGTTCCCCACAGGCTTTTGAATGCCATGCAGAGAATAATGAATTGTGTTACCGTGTGTGTGTACCCATCATTATATAAACCTGTATCTTATGTTCTGGGTATCTGAATAGAAGGGTTTCTATAAGAAATGCAAAGATGAATCTTCAGCAGATTTTTGTTCAGAGTTTGCTAGGATATCACTTGTGTTACAACTGTGGGAGGGGTGATAATAACAGATGGGAAGAAGTCAACAGTTTGAATTGCAACTGTTATACTTTAACATATTCTTACTTTATTGACCACTAGAAAGTGATAACTAGTGAAGTTTATCTCAGGGCTGAACAATAATGCTTTCAACTGTAAGGTACTCTGCCACTAAGGGCTCGTATATCTAGCAACTCACTTAGATAGAGATAACAAATTATTAGTTATATAGGTTTTTGTAATGGTCTGCAAAGGCTAAAATCCCAAAGTTCACGCCAGAGGGAGTTCCTTTGTTCACTTCCGTAACCTAATAACATCACTATGTAACACTTACGCTTTTATTGACTAGCGCTCAAACACATTGTATGTGATAGGCTAAGGGGCGTGACATTCTTAAGCTGTTGACCAATCACAACAGAGCTGGCCAGCTAACCAATCAGAGCAGACTGGGCTCTCGTTTCAGACAGAGGGTGAAAAGAGGTGCTGCAGCACAGGCAGTATGAGAAAAATAAAGAGCTTTTCGAACATTAAATCAATCAATCAATCAATGTTTATTTATATAGCCCAATATCACAAATGTTACATTTGTCTCATTTAAGTGTGTAAACATGTCACAGTAGAAGCAAAGAGTACAAACATGAACCTGAAAATGAGCATAATAAGTCCTCTCAGTTTCTTTTTTTAAGGCAGTACTGATAGGGGCACTCACAATAAATTACAGCGGGTAAAGACAAAGTTTATGAGCTAAAGTTCTAGTGAGCATATCAATAATCCTTGAAACAGGAGTTTATTTGGGTGGCTCTATTAACTTTCCTTGAGAATTATTAAACATGGAAATTACATAAATTCTTGAGATATATTTGTCATTGATCAAAGTGAAAAGGCAGGGGAAGACTAAAATCATCAGAAATCTCTAAACCTTGTCTGTTTGCAATTGCATATTGTACTATTAATATATATACTACATATGATGTAAATGTTTTGTATTTAGTGCATTCCATCTGCATAGTAATGTATGTGAAATATGTGTATGTGAGTAATGTGTTGATGTGTATACTAACACTTTGGCTTACCGCACTTTTCTGAATTGCTCCAATGCATTGAGTCTGGGTGCCTTAAAACCAGTCATGTGAGCTTTTGAGCCACGCTAAGATCTGTTAAAATGTCACTTAACAAAGTAATTGAATTTTTTTTAATCAATTTTCAGAAATTACGATTTTTTTTAAATAACAGTAATAGCTTCAATTTAAGTGTTTCCATTGTAAGTGCCTGTATTAAAGATGTCGGTCAATTAAAGAGGGACTGCTGGTTTGAGAGCTCTGCGTTTCATTTTAGTTGATTTGGATCATGGATTGTAAGGCATGGATGATTTTCTGAGTCAACACAATAATAACTGGCTGTAAGGGTAGTAATTGCACACAGCCCCCCCCTCTCTCTCTCTCTCTCCACTCTCTCTTCAGGGTCCCTTCCACTCTGCATTGTGTTTCTCCCACCCTCTCTCTCTCTCTTTCTCTCCCTGTATCTGTGTGGAGAGCAGCAGCCTCAGAGGTGTCTGACTCCCTCCAGCAGACAGGTGCACTGTCTTTCCAATTATCAACTACAGCAGTGGAAGAAGCCTGAACTATATCTTTGCACAATATTTACACAGTTAGTTTTCAAAGGAGAGAAAAGTAAAAAGGCGCACTGTGCCTTTACGCATGGAAGTTGGAACCAGCCTAAACACATTTACGCATGGCTTTGTTTCGTCTCCTCGGAATATGCGTTCGGGCTTGTGAGAGCTCCCCAGGGCGTCAAGTGCGGAGTACAAAGTGATCAACGATGCGGGGCACTGAGCTGCTGCTCGGATACTTTCTGGTGAAAATTATGGTGTGCGACGCGGAGGGCGAGCCGTCTCACACCGTGGACGAATTCATGCTGGTGCCCGGCTTTAACGACTCGAAGGAAGGGGAGGTGACGGAGAGCCCGCACACGGAGGACAAGTGCCGCGGCTACTACGACGTGATGGGCCAGTGGGACCCGCCGTTCGTGTGCCAGACCGGAAACTACCTGTACTGCTGCGGCACCTGTGGCTTCAGGTTCTGCTGCGCGTTCAAAAGTTCCCGGCTGGACCAGACCACTTGCAAGAACTACGACACCCCGCCGTGGATGATGACAGGAAGACCCCCGCCCAAAGTGGACGTGGCGCAGGAGTCCTCGAAGGATAAAACCAACCTCATTGTGTATGTCATCTGCGGGGTCGTGGCCATACTGGCACTGATAGGAATTTTCACCAAGTTAGGTTTGGAGAAGTCGCACCGTCCGCACAGAGAAAATATGTCAAGGTAGGTCATCATTTTAGGTCATCGCTGATTTGATCAACACATCTAAAAGTTGATCAGTTATTATGTGTTGCTGAGCCCTGCAATGTAATAACTCGACTGGTTGCAAAACATTTAAATTTGATTAAAAAAAGTCACAAAGCAACAAGTTGATTTGTAAATAAACCTGTTACTATGAAAATAAGTTAAGGTGTACTCAACGTGATATCCTTTTACAAATTCTGTTGGACCACAGTTCAGTTTAACATTTTATTTTCTTTAACAATTTCTTAAAGTCAAAGACACGTTTAATGAAACTCAGCCAGATGCTTAGTAGAACGTCATAAGCACATTTTTGTCAGTGTTACAGATAAAAGTGTGTTTTGATATTTATTGCATTGCCATATGTGTAAATTGTGTGTGCCCATTTTTTGTCCAAATTTAAATTTGGAAAGTACCGATGGTAAACAGCAGAACATTATAAATGTAAGAGAAATACTGTATGTCTATTACTTTTTAAAGTTCATTGTTTCTTAATTTTTGAAGTTGTTACATTTTAAGTTAAAATAAGCAAGCAAAAGGTCTGCTTAAAGGTAGGGTAGGTAATTCACTTCAGAAACACTTTTTGTTATATTCCATGGAATGCTCTTAACATCCCGATAGCAATGAATACATTAAATGCTTTGACAATAAATACATAAAAAAATGTCATCTGTGGAAGCCGTGGCGCTGTGCCCGGCTACAATAAATGGATGGCCTACCTGCCTGTCAGCCTTCCATCTCGAGCACAAACTTATCTCGTGCCCTCATTGGTCATGTGCACGTTCGTGTGTGTTGGAGGAGGGGCTCTGTAACGAAGTCTGAAGGAAGGGGCAGATTTGTTTCAGCTGCGTACTTCAAATTCTAGCGCACTTGAGCTGGTTTCTCCATTCTTACCTACCCTACCTTTAATGTTGCTATACGTTGGTTGAACGTAAACATTCTGTATAGATTGTCCACTATCTGCAAAATGTACAATTAAAGTTGAATGAAAAGATATCACATGCAGACTTTTGTTTATTTAAAACAAAAGTCTGCACATGTCACCAAGTGACAACAATTTGGCCTGTTAGCCTAAAGTAAATGTTGTTGCTTTATTTTCTTGTCAGAGTACCAGAATGCGTAGTTTACACGTTAAAAGAAAAACAAATCTTATCGGGGAGGATCCCCCAGACCCCCCTACAGGGGTCAGGTTTGCAAACATAGTCTTCACAACATGTGAGTGTGCTGAGAACAGGCGTGTTCAAGACTCTTAAAAAAGACGGAGATCATTGGCTTCCTCAATAATGTTCCCCTGGCCACACATAATGGTTCCTACGAAAACAGTCTGACAGTGACACTGTAAACCCTGTCTATACAGTGTGTAAAAAAATGGGTGGCGCGCAATACAGTGTTATTTTTATCAGAAAAAAGTGTCCCCACCACTTTTGAAAACAAAGTGACGCCCATGCATCAAACATTTCTAGATGGTTAATACACAGACATGCTCAATATTTCCTCAAACACACCTTACAAATGCACACAAAGAGGTTTACTACTCTCTTGCTGATCACTCAAGAGACTTTGTGCAGACAGTGTGTTTCATTGTCATTCTTTGAGAGAGTATGTTCCATGTTATTGAATCTACAGGCTCCCAACATAATCCACACTGTGAATAACTATCACAATCCCAGTCTATATTTCTTGGGACGTACTTAAATAAATATGGCTGAAAATTCAATGTAATGTATCCTTGTCAAAAATATCCTCAGCACTCAACAGTTGGAAACATAACTAATTTGCAAAACAACTGAAAAGGACAATTAAGGTCTGATAGAAAACACACAGTCTGGGAAAATTGTTGTTAAACGCTTGTCAGTGGTTTTGGCGGGAGCTGTGTCAAGCCAAATAAATTAACCCTGATGACGCCATGGTGGTGTGATGAGGGTCATTTAGGAGGCAGAGAGAGTGTAAAGACAGACACTTACTGTAGTTGCATTATGGCACATTTACGTTCCAGTGTTCTTTTGTGTCATGTTTGACCCTTGCTTAGATTTCAACCTATTTCAACAACGCACTTCCTGTAAGGACTAAAAAGCCGGAGTGCATTTGGTATTTACTGAAAAATGTCATCTCTGAGAGTGTTCTTCATCTTTACAGAGCTCTTGCACATGTTATCCGCCATCCTGCCTCAGAACATACGGATGAAATTGGACTTGGCCAGCACTACGAGAATATCCAGACAAGAGTCACACTTAACAGTCTACGTAAGTACTAACATAAGCAGTACACAGAATCTGTTAGCTGTACACCTACACACTCATTGACAGAGTTGTTTGTTTAAACCAGTGGGGCTCCCCGTTTGTGAACAAAAATAGTTGACATTTTATTTCTAACTGAGGACAACTAAATAAGGAACAAGTCACTTAAAGAGTCTTTACGCAACGGGGGCTTTTTTTGTGCCATTAGTTCATGAAGGAGTATATTTATTTCCAAGAGTTTTTATCCTCTAAAAAGGTTGCTTTTTCTGAGCTTTGAAAACATGAATAAAGGCATAGCAATTCCATTGTGTGAATGGGGTTGTGTTGCTTTTATATTTATGAGGATAATAAAACAAGCTACAAAGTTCCTACCTTGACAAAGACATACTTCACCCAGTCTTTGTGTACCTACTTTTCCCAATACAAGTAAAATACATACAAATTCACAGGTGAGTATTTATTGTGTCAATCCACCATGTTAATGCCTTTAGAGTGGAAGTATCTACACCGCTACATTGATCTTAGTAGTCAATGCTTTCAACAGATTTAATTAAAATTACCCCTGTACAAAAATCGCAAGAATTACAGTCCGGCCGCCAACCACTGGTTTAAACCTTTATATATACAGTCTATGGTTTAAACACTGGGTTGCATCTATTCACTAATGATGCTGCCATATGCCTTTACTGACCAGAATAGCCCTAACAAAACCAATACACACTCATATAAACTCTGCAATTTCATTTGAAAAAAATATAAACCTCAAATTGAGCCCTGTATATATGCTTGCGGAACCTGAATTACCTGAAGCGTCAAAAGGAAAAAGGCCTCACAATAGTGCAGGCTGCGCAAGCAATTAGTCATGGCCTCAGCTATCATTTAACATGTAAACTAATTAAATCCAACAACTTGAATCTCTTCTGTATAGCCAATACTTATTTTATGCAATGACCTCACACATTAAATCAAACACTTGCTATTCTAGTTCATCAACTGAACCCCTACACACACTCTGTCACACACACACCGGCAGAAGAATTGTTCTTATTAAATGCTAACCTGCTTACTGCCTTGACAGCTCCAGTCAATAAAGGTTTCACTGCCTCCTTGCCTCTCTCTAGCTGGATAATTATGGCAAATGGCATCTCACATTTAAAAAAGTTTCACAGAACGTCAAGCAGCATTTTAATGGTTGCATGCATCATTTGGAAATACCAGCTCTAGCTGAAAAACCGACTTAAACTTAGGATAAATTGTCCTTATAATGATCACGTCCAAAGCATCATATAGTGAAAGAATTACAGCTGTAGCTTTAGTTAGAATATATAAACTTAAAGCTACTGATTTCCCTTAATCTTCATTTGCTTAAGATGCAAATCAGTTTCAGTGATAATTCACGTGCCGTGGAAGGCCAGAAGTTAGCGTGTTCTTATTACAACAGAAGATTACAGCAGGTGATTTCACTGATTAGCTTGGGAGGTTTGCTAATCAGAGAAAACACCTGGTGTAATCTGAGGCTCACATAAACACCTTCATTTTCTTGGCACACATGGCAGATGACTGCCTATCTCTTATTATCTCCTGTACATAGCCTGGGTTTAGTTGTCCAAATATTTTCAAGCAGTTTCAATGTGGACACTGTAATTCCTGTAATTCAAATGATCCCACTAAAATGCATACATTCTTTGCAAATCCAGAAATACGCTCCACAATGTTTTGATGCAAAAACACAAGCAGAAATTATCTAAAAATATCTCTCTCAAAAAACAATTCTTGATGAGTGATTCCCATCATTGCAAACATCCAGAGAATTCAAATAACTAGACTGTAGATATGTTATTAAATCAAACCACTCTATTAAAGAGGCCCTGTTATGGTTTGGGGGACTTCCCTTTCCTATAGCGTGTAGGTGTTTGTGCATGTAAATGGTCTGCAAAGGTTAAAATCCCAAAGTTCCCTCCAGAGGGAGTTTACTTCTGTGACATAGTGACATGATTATGTAATAAACACGCTTCTATTGCGCTGTAACACATTGTAAGTGATACTGTAGGTTAAGGGGCGGGACATCTCTAAGTGGTGGAGCAATGACAACAGAGCGGGCCAGCTAACCAATTAGAGCAGACTGGGCTCTGGTTTCAGACAGAGGGTGAAAAGAGGTGCTGCAGCACAGGCAGTTTGAGAAAAATAAAGACCTTTAGGTCAGAGCAGGTCAGAGCAGAGGGACAAAATACAAATATGATCCTGAAAATGAGCATAATAGGACCCATTGCTTTATTTTGCTCCATTGTGATCTTCTGCTTCCAAAGAGCCCCTGTGCTTTACACCTTTATATTTACATGTTTACAATCCTGTCATGTGTACTATAAATATATATGAAGTGAGAAATTGAACTTCAAACCATAACCAACATCAGAAATTCAACAGCAGTCTATTTTAAGAGGTAGATGTCTGTGATGAGCTTATTTTTTACTCCCTATGATCAGCTGAGTTGAGTGGCAGCATGATCATAATAATTAATTCCAAAATCAGACCATAGCAGAATAATGATCAGTTCATTAAAAACAAGCCAACACATTAGGACAGATTCTCCGGAGGGATCTTTCTTTAGTATACTATCTACAGTATTATACTTTCAACAACTATTGTATAAGATAACTCATAGTATGATTCAATAAAACATTGCTGGAGTCTTTAACATACTGCAAGTCCCTGGAGTAAATGAAAGAACAATTATCAAAGATTTAAGATGACACTTAAGACAGTTGTACTGTAAAATATGTGAAGTCACCTCACCAAAATGTCAATGCCGTAGTGAAAATATAATTGCTTTAAAAAATGTTGCAGCTGTCTCACCTCACTGACTCTAACTTGAGGCAGAAAATAACTTTCCATGACAATTGTTATATGTTTGCTTTCACCTCAATTCATCTGTAGTCTTTTTTTCAGGGTATAATAAAATGCATACATGCATACACTTCACTCATTAACTATAGACAATATAACAATACAATACAGTGCCATGTAAACATTAGTTTTTAATAAGGAAGCCCAATTAAGAGACATCCTTTGGATCTAACCCAGGCATGGGCAAACTAAGGCCCGTGGGCCATATACGGCCCGTTGGGCTTTTTAATCCGGCCTGTCGAATATTGGTACAAAATTGTCCAAATTATAGTAAAGACCGCATTCATTTTGCCTTTTTCCTGCAATACCCGGCATTTCAGTTGATACCACTAGATGGCGCACTCTAGAAACAATGACCTTTGCTGGAGTTGGCAACCCGGCCAGATCTAAGAACCAAATACGTCACGCTTACATTGGAGGGGGTCAAGATTAACCTGAGCAATTACAGTTCACGGTTAGTACAGTACAGCGAATACAAGTTGTAACTGAGTAGCGCTGAGAAAAGTGACTAGAACGCGACCACACACTTATAAAAAACACTTAGCTTCGGTTGCTATGCTAACATCACATGTAGACAGGGTTGGGAGGGTTACTTTGTACATTATTACATTACATTGCATTTAGCTGACGCTTTTATCCAAAGCGACTTACAATAAGTGCATTCGACCAACAAGATACAAACTTGAAGAAAACAGAATCATATAAGTACATCAGGTTTCATAGAGCTAAAACATTTCAAGTGCTACTCAACTGGCTTTAGATAAGCCAGTGCTTTATTAGTATATAAGTGCTTTGTTAGCAATTCTTTGTTAGTGCTTCTATCGTTCGAAGCGGAGTCGAAAGAGATGAGTTTTCAGTCTGCACCGGAAGATGTGCACGCTATCTGCTGTCCTGATTTCAATGGGGAGCTCATTCCACCATTTTGGAGCCAGGATAGCGAACCGACATGTTTTTGCTGATGGGAACTTGGGCCCCCCTCGCAGAGTGCACATGCTGGGGTGTACAGTTTAACCATGTCCTGGATGTAGGAAGGGCCAGATCCATTCACAGCATGGTACGCAAGTACCATTGTCTTGAAGTGGATTCTAGCAATAACTGGAAGCCAGTGAAGTGAGCGGAGGAGCGGCGTGGTGTGGGAACATTTTGGAAGGTTGAAGACCAGACGAGCCGCTGCATTCTGGATGAGCTGCAGAGGTCGGATGGCACATGCAGGTAGACCAGCCAGGAGGGAGTTGCAGTAGTCTAGGCGTGAGATGACGAGAGCCTGGGCCAGAATCTGCGTCGCTTTCTGGGTCAGATGGGGACGTATCCTCCTGATGTTGTAAAGCGTGTATCTGCAGCAGCGGGTTGTAGCAGCGATGTTTGCAGTGAAGGACAGTTTGTTATCTAGGGTCACACCCAGATTCCTTGCAGTCCGAGTCGGGGAAACAATAGAGGTGCCGATGTTGATTGTTAGGTCAAGAGTGGGACAATCTTTTCTGCGTGCGACGACCTGGGTCTCTGAGCGGGGAAAGGACAGAATTAATTGCGTGTCGTCAGCGTAGCAGTGGTATGAAAAACCATGCGGGCTAATGACAGATCCGAGCGAGTTTGTGTACAAGGAGAAGAGGAGGGGACCAAGAACAGAGCCCTGAGGGACCCCTGTAGTTAATTGACAAGGGTCGGACTCGGACCCTCTCCAAGTTACCTTGTAGGTACGGTCTTTGAGGTATGAGGTGAGGAGGGAAAGTGCAGAGCCTGAAACTCCAAATTCTTGGAGAGTGCGAAGGAGGATCTGATGGTTCACCGTGTCGAATGCAGCAGACAGGTCCAAAAGGATGATGACAGAGGAGAGGGAGGCTGCTTTAGCCATGTGCAGTTCCTCAGAGACAGCAAGGAGAGCAGTTTCTGTGGAGTGACCTGCCTTGTAAATGTAATCAGTTACTGATTACTGAATACATGGCTCTGAAAGTAATCCGAATACAGTTACAGTTACGTGTCTTAAAAAAGTAATCAGATTACTTTTAGATTACTTTTGGATTACTTTCTTTTTCCATCACAGATGGGTATGTTTTGGTGAACAGGAGACACAAAAAGCAAAAGGAAACTGAACGTGTTTTTACTGTT